GAATGCAATATATGCGAGAGTATATGTATGTGTGTACATCTCTTGTCATGAACATGTTCAGATTTTGGATATTCAAGACTAGTCTACCAAAAGTGCTATTGAATTATTTCTTCCAAATGTTGTTGAAAATAGTTATATAACACATCTAAAGCATCATCTCCCAATCCCAAAAATATCACGTTCCGACAAATCTAAAATAAAACAAGTATGACGATGGTGGTATAAAGGAATAAATATAATGGAATGTGAGAAAAAAAAAACCTGTTCAAAGCTCCTTGGCGTCACAGTTTTCAACCATGCCTCGTCATCATGATTGTACAGCCAAATCATAATTGGTTCAATGGTAGAAACCGAAGGAACTGGCATAGTAATCCTTGAAGCATATCGGCCACAAGGGTGTGGTCGAAAAAATATTTGTGTCGACATATAATGAAAAATTTTTGAAAACATTTCACTCTGAGGTGAAAGATATTGTCCTTGTACCACAATGTCTAATGACACCACAAGTTGTTTTTGAAATGGTTCAGTAATTTGCTGTTGGTTTAATGAAGGTGACTTTTGCTCTGAAGTTGTTGAAGATGGAGAGGGTGATTTATTCGTGCTGTTTACTAAATGCTCATTAACTAATTCATCAATTACTTCACCAGGTTCGACAATTTCAACACCTGAGCAACTATTTGCTTCAACATTCCATGTTGGGCGATGATCTGGGAGCGAGTGTCTGCGATTCCATTCACTAAAACTCATCATGCGTAAGATCGTACATTTTGTAAATACGTGTGATCCTAATAAGGTCATTTGGCTAAGGAGCTGATAAAATGTTGACATAGCAAAATCTGTAGGGAAATCAACCTCGATGATATCGCTTATGCGATCACTTGGTAGATGTGGCATTCCATTTACAATAGATTGTATAAATGTCGACCAAAGCCAATTTGTGGTCGAACATTTTAATTGTTGGCGTTGATTAATTGAATTAATAGATTTTGAATGTTATTTTCGTTCGGATCAATAAAAAAAAAGTTCTCGTGATCACCGACTATTTCCGACCCAGTCTGGAAAGTTAAAATTAGATGTAAACATTTTTCTAGACTGAGTCGGAAATGGTCGGTGATCGCGAGACCGCGACATTTTTTTCGCCATGACTAATTGTCTATTTTAAAAATTAACGTTAAAGATTATTTAGAATCTGATTAAGGTCCGAAGCGAACACTACTGTTACACTGACCGCATATCAATTCGGGAACCGTCAATTCGCGAATTTCATTGGCTGCTTCCGCCGTACAGTGCATTCGGTTTGTCTCGTATATGATATGATTCTCGCTTCGCTTCGGACAATTATAAAACGCACCTACGATATTTTGACGCCTATCGCTATATTTTTTGTTTTTTAGTTTTTTTTTTATTTTATTTTATTTATTTATTTTTTAATTTTTATAGTAAA